CGTGTGCGCATGTGTGTACATGTGTATGTATGTAAGTATGTAAGTATGCATGCAGGTCTGCATAAACATACATACATACATACATACATACATACATACATACATGCATACATACATGCATACATGCGTACCTACGTACTACATACACACATACATACATTACATGCATACATACTGGCATGTATGCATGCATACATACAGACATACATGCATACATACGTACATGCATACAGACATGCCTACATGCATACATACGCACCTACATACGCTATCATCCATCCATCCATCCGTCCATCCATGCATGCACATGTGTGGGCACACACACACATAATTGCTTCTTATGGGTACATCCAAAGCGGGTAGATCCTTCTCTACAATGTCTGCTGTCTCATGTCTTGTGTCCATGCCATTGTCTTTCTTGCTAACACAGGGCTGATGGCGGAATGCTGCAAGATCCTGGCTCAAACCTTGCCCCACATCTCCGATGCCCAAAGAATCGAGTCAGCCGAGAGACGCTCGAAGGTGCCGGCCACCCCTGCTTCAAAGACTGGGGTGAGTTCGGGGCTTCGGCTTGGCTCAGAGGCTTCTGGCCCTTCCCGGTTGATATGGTCTGTCATGTAACCGTAGGTAGGGGGTTGGAGTCTCAGGGCTTGATAGACATGAAAGGTCTCGGGCTCGATGTTTAGTTCCTCGCGACTTGGACAAGCCATGAAAGCAAACCGGGATCGAGAGAGCAGTCTTGGAGCCTCTATGACATCATGCAGTCGTCTATGTCCGGGACTGGACTCACATCAACATGTCCGCTTCTGGCTCGGCAAAGCACTTGGCCCGAAGAGGCCAAAGCAAGCAAGTTTCCCTGCGACCTGCGGTGTTCATCAGCATCAGCATGGTGTCGTATGTCGTGCACGGAGGAAGGTTCCAGAATGAACCTAAGCATGATTCTGGCTTTTGTCGGGACGTCTTTAAAGCGCTGCCATCGGAGAACCCCGCGCACTGTCACTACCCGTGGCACTTTGCATGACGTTCCACGTCTCTCTTCACTGGCTGCTGGGGACACTCGTCCCAATCAAAGCTCTCCTCTGCACAAACTGGGGACAGCGCCCACTTCAGACTCGATGCCTCGCGCCTTCATTACCTGTGGCTTGGCAACCCCTGGGGGCCCGGGTGTCAAACCGATTTTAGTCTTCCACGGTTGCCCCCTGCCGGACCTCCACAGCGTCGGGCGACAGGTCCAGGCCCGAAATCTTCATGCCTAGCCGGTGAAGCACTGAAGTCATTCCGAGTTGTGCGAACACAACAAGGCTGCGCATGTCATCACATGTACATACCAGCGATGGGGCCGCCATTTTCTGCTCTGCGCTGCTGCATTCACAACTCACAATCGATTCGGGCATGGCTGCCCTCTGCGACTCTAGCATGAACTTTGTGCAAAGAGTGGGTCAAACGTGCTGATATGACAGCAACTCGTACCCGGGGCGTTGTTACTACTGGTAGCCTTGTTGGCATGGATGTCGATACTACTGCCTACCGGAATTCGCCGAAACGGTGATACCAGGAGCATCTCCTGGTCTTGGCACATCGCTGCACTCCGACCGGTCAGTGGCTCAAAGGTCGACAACTCCGGTCCCAGTAGGTCTGGATGTCGTGCTTGCTGTATACTCCTGCTCAGCATCAGCAGCATTCTCGTTTCGAACTGATCTCAGCTGTCTTCTGTGCCTATAAATCCAAATATTAGCAGCTCCAACAGTGCCTGGAGTTGCCACGACATGCGTGCGAGAACATAGCAACAACAATGGCAGGGGTTTCCGCAGCAACTGAACCCGCTCGTAATAGTTGAGCATTTCCTTCCAAAGTCCGATCATGAGCTTTTCAAAGGTCTGATCTGCCTCGCTCCTTCCATCTGATCTGCATTCTGGTGCGGGTATCTTGCTATTGATACTGCGCAGTAAAGAACTGCCTTCTTCCTCCTCTTACTTGAACTGTGCCTTGTCGTCCCCTCATTTCCCTGCTGTGCATGAGCAGCACGAGTCCTCTGTAGAACTTGGAGATCTGGTTGAAACTGTATGCTTTTCCATCCTTGGCACAGAAATTCTAGCAAGCATTTCGAGAGCAATGGCTCCGCAAACACTAATGGGACAGCTGTCGCCGGAATCTGTACTGATCCATTCAGTATTCACAAGGTGGTGCGCCAACTTCGTCCAAGGAACCGCCGGATCAATCCTCTTCTCCTCTTTATTTCCACCCTGGGCCTGCAACATGTCAGCAAGCAAACTGCGGCCTTGTCCGCGGTTCCATTGGAATTCATCTGTTATTATAACCTGAAAACATGCATGCAGACAGGACAGATGCATGTACATGTCACTGTGTAGACAATACCTATCTGTGCACATACGCATAGGCTACAATGCTACAAAGAACCTAGCAACTCGGCCGCTAGTCAAACCTGCAGGAAGGTGTTCTCTTGCAAGCAGACAGGCTTTTGCCATCTACCCTTTGGCCTGCTGCGAACCCGACAGTCTTCGTGGATTCTCCTGTTGCAGTGCTGCTATAAGCCTGGGAACAAGCCACAACAACGACGGTCGACGGCGAAAATAACATCAGTGACAACAGTCGTAATAGCAAGAGCAACGGCATGAAACAAAACTGGCAGCGAAAGGGTTCTACAATGATACAGGCCCATGCATCGCACAGCAGGACTAAGACCCTCGAGGCAGCACCACTTTCGGTCCTTTGACTTTGGCTCGGTTGCCGCTGCTGCCTGGATCGTTGGTTGGGACGTTGTCCGCTTAGAGTCAACATCTTGTGTTCGATTGTTATTGGAATTGTTGTTGAAATTGTTGCTAGTGTTCTTGTTGCTGCTGCTATTGCTGCCCTCGTTCTCGTCGTTGTTGTTGTTGACGCCAGCTGACACTCTGCTAGGGACTTGCGACTGAACCTAAACCTGGTGTTCGGCTAGGACGAGGTGTTGAGGAGGCCGCCCTGTCGTCTTTCTTCGGTTCCTTTGCAATTTCCTTCTCCTGCACAACTCAGGGTCTGACGGTTGCACAGCTTGACAAATTGCGCTTGATGCGAATACAACACAGGCGACTTCCCCGAGCCCGTGCAGACCTCCAACAGAGGGCGTGCGCACTCCCCCCCCCTCCCCCCCACAGAGAGAGAGAACAAGAATGGGCTATACATGCTTGCTTTCATGATCCTTTTCAGATTGACATTCGCGTTTTCAGGCATCCCAGCTCAGCCCTCCCGATGTGGACCTGAACATACCAGCGCCCTGTAGTCCAAGACCCCGAGCGGGTAGGAAGGAGGTCCTTTGCCACTTGTGTGGCTGCGGGTGCGTCGACTTTGGGCGCCTGTGTCCACGAGCATTCGGTCAGCAAAAAACCGCTCGAAAGCAAGTGGGGAACCCGTGCAAAAGATTTCAGATTGCGTTCAACTCAGACGCTTGTTTTTTTGCAGCTGGCAGGGGATGGTGACAAGGGTAGGCCGTTGCCCGGGCGCTGGCTTGACTCTGAATGATCCAGTCGAATCCCCTCAAAGAAAAATCACCATGATAATGATGATCCGATGAAACTGATATCTATGCGGTAAACATGACTACGATCATGATGTTGCATTAGTCAGCAGTCAGTAGGCAGGACTTGGCAGTTCGGAGTTAGTGGTCACACCGCTTCGCGGGACTGAGGACGACGGGCGAAGTAGAACGAGACATGAAGTCTGTTCCGTAAGCTTCTTGTCAACATCCCCAAGACACCATCCAAACAAATCTCACCACAGCATGAGCACTGACAAGTATCAGCCAGTAATTCTCGACCCAGCACGGGCACTAGCTTACAAGTCGCTGAGACAGTGAGGTCGGGACTTATTCCCCTTGCTTTTGTACACGTGACGTTCAGTTGCAACTGGAGATGTATGCGGCTCCCTCGCGCGAGGCACTGGACAAGCTACCACGCAAACCCCAAAGCCCACTAAGACTAGACAACCGGCGCATCAACTTAAAGCAGCAGCCTGCTCCTTCAAGCCTGTGCCCGGATTCACCACAGCCGCGGCTTCTGCGGGAGGCGCATGCCAGGCGATCTTCAGCGGGCGGAAGAAGAAAAGGAAGGCTCTCAGTACGCTCGGGAATGCATTCACTTGGTTTTAATGCCTCGTGTCCTGCGGTGCTCCAGAATCTAGCCCAAGCCTTTGCACATCTAAGCCCAGTGCCACGACTCAGAAGTTCGACCTCCTAAACACAAATCATTAATCCAGTGTAAAAAAGCCGTAAAAACTCTCATCTGCCTAGTCAGTCAAAAAAGGGGAAACTCCGGTGTGAGAGCTTTGCATTGCTGTCGGCTCGGCCTCCGGCGGTCTCCGCGGCTCTGGGCACTGGCCCGAAGCCTTTCAATGACTCTTTTTGTCTACTTGCTGTTGCAATATTAGAAATAATATCCGCAGCAGACTACTAGCATCATTATACTCGTAACACTAAGGTCTCATGTCGTTTTCTTGACTGACTATATCTCTTGACATTACATTGCAGGCAGGCTCCCAGGGTTTAGTCCTTGAGCTCCAGCCGGCACTGTGGTAGGGAAACCCAGTAATCAGCTCGACCAGCCTCCCTGTCCCGCTCCGCACAGCAAGTCGCACCCATGCCACGGCCCACCTGCAACGCAAACATGGAAAGAGCGCCAACCAGCCTTCAACGTGTTCTCACGGCCACCTTCTGCTTGCTTATGAAACTTATCTCTGCAAGTGCTAGAAGCGCATGCGTGTGAGTTCTAGTTTGCCGTCTGCGTCAAGCATACCTGCCTTCGACGAGGGCTTTCCAAGCGAAAGCAGCTGGTTGTATGAGCAGTAAGCTGACTCCTGCCCCTGCTACTCAGTGCTACTGCTGCTGTCGCTAGTCTTGTGGCTTCTCGTGCTGTGATGCTGATACCTCCTTGTCTTTCTGTTAATTTAACTCTGCAGTACCACGAGGACCCGTGCCGTAGTACGTAGTGACTTACTGTATGCCTTGCATCATTGATAGCCACTCACATGTTCTGTGCTGCCGGCAACGTGCTGTCTTCAATGTCTTGCTGCTGGCTCCGCCGCAGAGTGTTCAACACATCATGGCAAAACCTGGCAAAGCTGTCAAGAGCAAATACGACCGGATCAGAGCTTCGGGCCTGCTGTACCTCAGGCACTTATCTCTGCATTCGACCGCCTTTTCTGTCTCGGTAACCTAACGTCAAGTCAGTACCAGTGCTGCATGCTTTCCAATTCAGTGAAACCCTAGACGCTGATCTACTGCACATAACTCACTCAGGCATTGGAAGTGCTTGAATTCAAGATGCAAAAATGAAAAGGAGAGGCCTCAAAAGCCTGAACCCGACGTCACGGCGAGGCCGGCCCGATGGCTTCACCGGTGGGATCTTGCTCGGCTTCATGTGCGAGGTAGCGGAGTGCGTCCGCGAAGGCCTCGTCCGTAATCTTCACCAGGCTCTCCTGGCAGCGAGAGCAGTGCGAAGCGTTGCAAGCCAATGAAAGTTATGGGTTATGGCTTGGGCTTCAGTGCACAGAAACCAATGATATCTAAACACTTGAAGCATTCCCAAGACGATACAAGTTTCCAGGTCTCCATCTAAGTCTGTCAGTGTAACTCGCTCTGCGGCCCGTTTGGCATAGGCCCGAGCATAGCTCGCAGCTGCCTGCCAAAGCTCCCCCGGACTGCGACGCAGGAGATGGCCGAAGCTCTGCTCATCCAAGACCAGCACTTCGCAGGATGCGTCTTCAATGCCATCGGCCGTCAACACACCCTGATGTTGCCAAGCTTCCAACCAAAGCCCTCCTTCCGAGATATGCTGGCCGAGCTTCACTTTGACGGGTGCCCGCGAGAGTCGTTTGCTGGCCCCCGCGCGACTGGCGGGGTCCAGCAAGTACGTCGCAGAGCCGCGGGTCACCATGTGCAGCTTGCTGGCATTGGTCAAAGCACGGAAAATGGGCTGCATGGGGCTGTAGAAGAACTGTTGGAAGCAATCAATAACTTGCCGAAGGGCCTGAGGGTGGGCCACGTCGAGCTCATGAAAGAAGGGATGGAGGGATAAGAAGGGTGCCGCCAACTCCTGGAGAAGCTCTTGCTGAATCAGAGGCGGTAAGAGAGCCAAGGGCGACCTGCTCTCGGAGGGAAGCCACGGGTGCCAAGCGTCGAAGCCGAGGCTCCGGGGGCCGCACCAGCCCAAGAACCGAGGTCCAGGAGCCATGGCCTTGCGAGGCTCGGGCTCCAACTCCAACCAGCTCAGAATGTGGCACTGCAATCGCTGAGGCACCCGGGCCCCACTGGACTTGCATGTGTTCAGATAGGCCCTGCAGGCCAGTTGGCGGTTGGCCCACTCTCCACGGGCATCCCGCAGACGCATTACCAACATACCCCCCTGCGCAAAAAGGCTAATGCAGGCAAGGAGTGCAAGGACATGAACCGTCGTAGAGAGGATCATGTCAGGCACGCTCTTCGGGTTCACGGGACTCGGCCCCAATCCCGGCGTCAGCTGTGCCAAAGCCCAGAGCAGCGCACTGAGGTACATGGAGATGCTGTCCTCCTGTTGCTGGATCTGCGAGTACTCAAGGAGCCACGTGTTCTCATTGCCGCCGGTGGCCGACCCAAGATAATAGAGGGCACATGCGATGATGTGGGCACCAATAAGCAGCAGCAGAGTGCTGAAGGCCATGGTGCCCAATGCACGCCACAGCTCCGACCGGATGCGGGCCCGGACGCCGAGTAGGTTTCGGCTCACCCGGACGCTGCGAAGGAGACGGGCAGCTTGGATGGCAAGGTAAACATCTTTGTTCAGGACCAAACTTCGGAGGGACTGGTAGGCGGACTGTGGGAGGTCGTAGAAAGTCGTGAGCACCGCCAGGTCCAGGAGGGTCGTCAGCAGGTCCAAGAGGAGGAAGCCCTGTGTCAGATACCTCCAGACCATGGCTTTTCGGTTCGAATGCAACACACCCCCGGAGGAGAAGCTGGTGCAAAAGAGGGTCATGAAGATGTTGATGGCCCAATACACCGGGAGCACCCAGGTCATGACCTCTGATACTGTGCCCACCTGCCCGAAAGCTACCTGCCACGGTGTCATCACCAAGTCATAGATCAGCAGAAGTAGGCCGAGAAGGTCCCAGAGCATCCTCTTCCGGGAGAGCTCGTGCAGGCACACGCAGGAGCACCTGAGGGGCCTTGTGGCCTTCTCGAACTCTTCGGCATTCTCCCCCCAGTCTGCCTGACCCGGCTGGAGCTCCTGTCAGGGGTTGCAAGACATGACTTGTAGCACCATGCTTTCTCAAATGTCTAGACCACAGAAAACCAAGCAGGGGGGGGGGCTCCTGCACCCACTGGCTGCGAGCCGCGAAGCTGGGAAGACTCCCGCCGCCTGAGCCCTCGTCGCGGCCTTCGCGGCCTTCCGCTTCCGGAGGATCCAAATCCGGGCATTCGGGCGCCTGCTCGGGCGGCCCGCCCGGGATGTCAATCCGCTGCTCTTGGGCCTGGAATCGCACTGCGAGCTCGGGCTGCATCCTTGTGGCCATGGCCATGGGCGTCTCCGCTTCTGCGGGCCCCAAGATCGCTTCGGCCGGAGATTCGGCCTCTATCCGCTGCGGTGCACTGAGGATTGTGACAGGATCACGAGGCTGCATCCGCAACTCTGCAATCTCAGCCAACAAACGTTCATTTTCTGCTTTTAGCTCTGCACTCGCTTGTGCAACTTCGTCGGAGAACCTCTCCACCAAGGTCCTCAACCCGTCCTGCAGCATGGAGACCGTGTCGATGAATGCAGCGGATGGCTTTGCTGGTTTCAAGATCGCCTGCTCCTCCACCGGGAGAGGCCCGGCAGAGTTCGCGATAGCGCCCGCTTTCGCCGGCTTCGGACTGGGCTCGGGCTTGGGCGTCGGGCTGCCGCAGAGGCTGGGGCCGCTGCTTGCGGTAGGCAGTTGGCTTTGGGCTGGTGCTTTTTCGAGCAACTCGTTGAGCTCTAGGAGCAAGGCATCCAGAACCTGCGAGGCTCAAAAGTGAGAAGATTCACACCTACCAGCATGAAGCACAGGCAAAACAACACTTAAAGCAGCGCTATCACGGCCTCCTGCTTCGAAGCTGGAATGCTCTTTTGTCCATCTGGAGGCTCTGGAGAAGTGCCAACCGAAGTTGAAGGCACCTGCGTAGAAGGTGAAGGTGACGGAGTCGGAGCTTGTATGGCAGGAGCCGGTGCATCTGATCTCAAGATCGGTCTCGTAGTGCTCGTTGGTGGGGGCGCGAACCCTTCGGCTGCAGCTTGCTTGGCTTCACGCAACTGGGTCAAATACCTCAGCTGCTGTTGCTGCTGCTGTTGCTGACGTATTTGTGGAGATGGCGTGGCATCCGGGTCGACCAACGACTCGCAAAGGTCATCCAGCTCTGCTTCAGAGGCTTTGATCCTGTTTGACCTCTTCGGTTTGGAGAGACGGCCCTCCAAACGCTCGCAGAGAGCAAGCAGGCTGTCAAGCTCCAACTCCTGCAAACGGGCGATCAACCTTGGCGGTGCATTGGGCAGGGCCTGCGAGGCCTGTGCGGAGAGGTCAGAGACTGAGGTAGGCCCAAACGACACGTTCCTCTTGATCTCTGACCGGGGCACCTCGTTCCGCACAGACACCAAGGCAGCCTGGGAGGGTTTTGCAAGGCCGCAGTCACGGCAGAATCGAGCACCCTCCGCGTAGTCGTTCCCACAGCTCGAGCAGTTTCCAGGGTTCGCGTTGGAGGGCACGCCTGGAAGTGAGGGCACTGGGACAAAGTTCGTCCTGCCTGGTGCTTGGAGTCGGGCCAAGTCGTCGTTGTTCAAATGTTTAGTGGAGAGGTGGAGCATGGCTCAGCTGGACGCTGAAGACACCCGCACCGTCTCTTATAAGACTCTGCGCAGCAGGGAAATAATGGCGTCGCGCTGCACTTCTAGCTCTCCCCTTCCCCTAAAGGGAGGCTTGAGCGTTCCCTTCTGCGGCAATGTGCATCTCGAACAAATCAACAGGAACATGCAGACAGAGCATGCGCGAAAGGCAGCAAGCCGAGCAGCATGCCGTGACGTGGGTCATGTGGGTTGAAACTCTGGGTCTCAAGCCACGCTTCTGGAGAGCCAGCACATGGCTGCCGGCCTGCTCTCGAAGTCCAAATGTGGCAGGTCTTTTGTGGCACAACTTGAACATCTCATGCAAACTTCGGAAGCACTGCAAGTGCTGCGATGCTGCTGGAGGTAGAGCGAAGATCTAAGCCCACACCGACCCCTTCTTCAACCTTTTCTGGGAGGCCACGCTCCCGCTCCGAGATCCAGAGCTCTTCCGCCCTGTCGGAGGCAAAGCTCCATGGCGCGCCGCTCCTGGAAGCGACCGGCGCAAGGTCGGGAGCCCCTCACACCACATGCGGTTGTTTGGTGGTGTTTTGTGTCGAGCCGCTGTGGGAAGGCTTCGTCTTCGTGAGTCTGTTCAAGGTGGAAGCTATCCCAAGGCCGCCCCACATCGACAGCTTGATTTTGATACTTTCCTGCTGACGACACGCTTGTGCACAAACTTGGCTGCAGTGTCTGTCCAGCGCCGGCATCTCGGATGGGCATCGGAAGAAAAGCTCCTTACATCGACACTGTGCATTGCTGCTGCACACAGACAAACACACACCACTGCCAGCACAATGTCTCCGCCTGTCCCCGCAGCGCCTGACTAGCACTTATCGACTTATCGACTGCATACTACTGCCGCACGAACATGGCATCACCACCAGGACAACCGATGCAATGATAATCATCACTGCACTGCACTGTCGAACAAGTCTCCTGCTACAATGCTCGAACAGTCAAGGTATCAAGTGTGGAGCAGTCCTCCGAGGAAAAGGATGCCAGGCTTTTTAGCTGAGGGCGGCTCACTCCGAAACATACAGACACCGACACTGCTACTGCCACATGGTCTTCAGTTTACCACTGCCCCAGGGCCTAGATTCCTAGACCCTCTGCTGGGAGCCCGGGCCGGCGGCACTGTCTCGGGCTCGCCGGGTCGCAAGTTCCTTAGGTTTGCCACTCGCACTCGCACGAAGTGTTTTCGCTTTCCTGCCCGGCTCAGGTTCTCATGATTGGTTTGGCTTGAAGCCTTCCAACCGGAGCTCTGATTCCTCGAGCTCCTGTGGTTGATGTAGCCGGGCGGCGACCAGTACAACAGTGGAGGCCTCGAGAGAGTTGCCCCAGCCTGCACATGGCTTTATCAGACGGGGGGACAGGACTTTCGGATGCCGATATCCTGCCTGGAGCCTCTGCCAGTGATGCAAGACGGCTCGTCCCAACGGAGCCCAAGCCTGGGAACTCCGCGACCGACGGCCCACAATGTGTCAATGAGCTGCCGCTGCCCGGCCCTCCAGATGCTTGTCGGGGTGCTGGGCACAGTCGCGCGGCATCGCTTGCATGGGTCAGCCTGCATACAATCGCTATCACGGGGCGGGCTGAACCTCATTGGAAAGTTGCAGTCAACACATGCAAATGATCCTGCTGGTTGCCTGAGGAGGTTCCTCGATGGCGCAGCTAGGAAACCCAAAGTCGAGACAACCACAAGAAACACCCCATGAGCCAGTCGATCACGACTCTGCTGGCCGTAAAGCTGCCGGCGCTACCCTGGCGCGGGGCATAGGTCGCCGCGGCAAGACCCGTGTAGTAGTGATGTGGCTAATGACCATGTTCATGACAATAGCAACACAACCCATGAAATCACGGGTCAAATACTCTCGATGCTAGCAGATGAGAATGACACTCATCAACATTGCGATAGAAGCATGACGTAATGTACATAGCATGGCTGCATCCAGATAGCGTTGTGCCAATCTCCAAGACAGACGCTGCAAGATCAGACATCATCTATGCCTGAGTGTGCAGGTGCTTTCATTGGGCGGACACCAGAAGGAATCGAAACCACGCGTGCTGCCTTAACTTGCCACCTCTGGTAACGTCAGTCTTTGACCTCGACTGCAATATAGTGCAATAGCCTGAGCCATATGGCCTGCATGGCACAAGGCAGAGGAACCCGGGCTGGCTTGCGAAGACGTGGCATGCTTTCGAGCACAACTTTGCCACCAGGCAGAAGCGGACGCTCCACATGAATAACACATAGAAGAAAACGTAAAAACTCACAGAAGGAACAACAAAGAACATCTTCAATCTTCGCAACAGCTGCCACCTTTAGACTCTACTTCCAGAACTGGGTCGGTTCGATTCTTACTTCGCGAAGCTCTACACTGCGACTACCAGGTCGTCCCCCAGTATCTAATGTGATACAGAATCGACAGGGTCCATCCAGGTTTACTTCTCTAGTCCTGTTGCCTTTCACATGAACGACAGGAGCGAAAAGCTGCTTAACTGCTTGCACTTGCCCACTACCACTCAAGGGACAATCTCGTTGGTTGAATTGGGAACGATTGGGATGCTGCCCTCGCATGTCCTCCAGCTACGAAAAGCAATGCGCTTTTTGCTTCGTCTTTGGGTCAGGCGCGTGTCCGCGCAAGTCCTTCCAGCAAAATAGCTGAGAAGCATACACAGCTTGCAGGCGAAAGTCGTACCCAGCACCGCTTGAGTTCGGAATTCTGCGATGGCCTCCTCGTACGCCGAGGGCTGTCGGTCCCGCAGCATGGCAGGCAGGTGTCGGAGTCTGCGGACGTGCAGGGTGCCCTTCCAGGCCCGAAGTAAGTGTGAGATGCAAGTCCCCCACCTCAAGCGCTGCGCGCTGTGCCGTGACGGGCTGCCCTTGGCAGCGGAAAACACTTCCATGGAGCGAAGCAAAGCTGGAGGGCTGCAAAAGAGGTGTGGGACTGCTGGCTTCTCCGTGCTTCTGTGCAAAGCGAAAACGGAAAAAGAGGTCAGAATTCCGCTCATCTGGAGAGCGGCCCTAGCAGAAAAATGCAGCAGACCAAATGCCTCACTCCTGCACTTCAAACTGTCGACGCCGTGACACGAACCAACTCCTGATCTTCGATGTCGAGGAGAAGATCCATGGCGGCCTCTTCGCTCCGGCTTGCCGCAATGTGCAGCACGAAGTCAATGATAATGTGAAGCGTTCTAATTAAAGCAGCTTTTGAAGCTTTGAGGTATGTCCTACCATGATCATATAAGACTTCAAGAGGAGCCCTAAAGGTTGCTACATCCTGCTATAGGTACCTGTCATTATATTTACCACCACAGACCAATTTCTCAACAATTGCACAAGGGTACAGACGACCACACCTCAAGACACATTGTTACACGGTGTTGTTGCACATCGAGGCTTAATGGTGTGTGGCATTCACGGATGTACAGGGGCTGTGCTAAGTCTGCTGCCGACGCTGCACTCCACAAGTTCCCGGCAACTGAGAATTGCCAACTTCCGTTGCCGATGCTTTTGCTACGGTAGGGCTTGCCTATCCGTACTGTCGGCATTGTAACTGTATCTGCGCTCCGGAACTTGAAAATTGCGGGCAACCTTCAACAGCAGGCATCACGCATGACGCACTCTCATGCTGGCAGCACTTCGTGCTGAAGAACAGTGTGCTGGGATTGAGTACGAGGATATCAAAACACGCCCGTGCAGCCAGAGTATGCAAAAAGTGCACGAACTCGTCGGCTAGCGACCCAAGCGTTCACATCGCTGTCAACCCAAACTTCGAAAGGGACATCCATTCATGTTCTACAGCTAACCAGCTGAGTCTTCGGGAATGGGGACAATAGTGAAGTCGTACAAACACCAGCAGTAAACACGCGGGGGAAAGAGCCGCAGGGTTTGCGGATGCTGAAATGCTCTTCTACTCATTGCACCTGGTGTCTCGACTGAGATATGTTGTTGGCCTGCGTGTCGTTGCCCGTTTGCCGCAGGGCACGGCGAGCCGGCCCCTCCTCAAAGCCGTGGGACAGCAGCGACGACAGCGACAATGGGTCTACCTGGGTCGTAAGACGAGTCATGGCTATATCTGGTTCTAAGCAATCGCAACAAGAAAACTACTCTAAAATACACATGAACAAGATATTCTGCTCACGATGCTCGGGCTTTTTCCTAAACCTCACGAGCTGTTCTCCCAAAGAGAACAGCACAAAAAGAGGAAGCTCAGCGGAAGCTCCACCAGGTTGCAGGCTGCGAGCTCGGGGCAGACTCAGGAGCAGCACCTGCCAAAGTCTCGGATCGGAGGCGTCACTGGTTTACCCTCTTTGCTTGGCCGTGATCTCCTGTGTTGCGCGCGGCCGACGGCGTTAAGAAGCGACGAAAAGAGAATCAACACAACGCAACACGCTCATGGTCCAGAATCAGGGGTCTCTGCTGGCCACACCCGAAGCCCCCCTCACACACTTCACTACTGTAGAGAGGTACAGCCAATCAGCCAGAAGCGCGTTGAGCATCAGATCAACTTCTCAACCGAAGCTTAAGTTATCACGAAGCAGCGTGGTAACGGAGCTGGACTGCCAGCAGTGCCCGAGAGGCGGCAACACGATAGCAGCAATTGCGTGGGGCGGTGCAGGGGATTTCCATCGCCGCCCCCCCTTGAACACCGAAAGCACAACACCCTCAGCCTCTTCGTACCAAGACTTCAGCCGCAATTAGACGACAACTCCCGAAGTGTCTGACTTCTGCACTGGAGCTCCGTTTGCTCTTAAAAGGCCTGGTCGCTCCTTGCCCTCCCGCGCCAGTCGCTCCACCAGGCGAAGGGCAAAGGTCTCTCCGCCTTCCTGAGACAGCTCCGGGTCCTGCGCCGGACTCTGAACACTCTCACTCTCACTTTTCCTGGCTGCTTTTTCCACGAAGGAATTCGGCCAAGGGCTTCCAGCTCTGAAGGTCCAAGCACTTCCCTGTTGGCTTTGGGGGTGGGGAGGGGTGGTCAATGCACTTTCAATCTCTTGGACAGGAAGATGGCCCTGAACCCTGCCTGAGACCTGCCAAGATGTACGTAGGAGAAACACCGACACTGACCTAAAACTAGATCCGCAGCGGAGATCAGGATCCCACGGCAAATGCCCTAAAGCTCTCGGCCTCGTCGTGACAACCCACATCTCCAATGCTTGCAAATAGAAAAAAGCCTGAATAAAGGCCGAAGCTGAACTCGGGCCCCGAATGTCCTGAGTGTCACGGAGCTCCTGCTGTACATGGGCCTCCAGGCACTCCGGCATCATCTCCTTGTCGTTCCCACGTATTTCAACTCCAGCTGCACGCGCCGGGTCATGGTCGCATTCGTGCTAACCCGACAAAGCATGTCGCGAGGAGTAGTAGAACCGTGGTCATAACCCTGCCCTTCATCGCATCAACATCCTCAGCATCACACTCACCATCCACGTCATCATGATCATGACCAAATGGTTCTTTCATCACCATCATAAAGAGTTGAAATACCAAAACAACAGCATTGGTAATGACAAACATCAGAGCAAGAAAAGCTATCGGCTATTGTGCTCGTGATCAAACTGTTGAGCGCAGTGGCAGCAAAGAGCAAAGAAAAGCCTTCAGATGCCGCTTTCACTTGCATTGCCAGGGATCGGTCATGCGGCGGAAAGCCATGCGCTCGGGCAGCACATCAGAGATGGAGTGGGCAGCAGAAGCCAGAAAGTCGTACTGCAAATGCTTCAAGGTCTGAAGACCTGAGCTTTCAGAGCTTGCACTGAGGGGTTGTGCTTTGCATCAGGCTAATTTGCAATTAATTACATTCTCACAACTCGGACAATCCAGGCGAGGTCTCAAGCGCAGTCGGAGTGTGCCGATTTGCATGTATGTGTCTTCGCACTCTGCCCTTTGCCACAGCCCCCATGCTGAGACATGAGTCCTGATAGCTGTGACACCGATCCTGCTGGAAAACCAAAACGGTTCCGTTCCGGCAGGTCAGAACATGGTCATTCCCAGGTGCAGGAATCCAAGATGTCGTCCCTGTGCTCTTCCAGCGTGTATAGCCACTCGAAGACGCTTCGATTGATTCGCTCGAAAGTAGCCTTCGAGACCAGCAATCATCAAGCGCATGCATAAACGTTTTTATTGAACACGGAAAAATTAAATATACAAGTGGATGTGTATGTGTGTATGTGTATGGCGTGTGTGTGCCTCTGAGTGTACGTATGCTACGGCTGTTTCAAGGCCTTGGAGGCTTGGAACTCAGACTTCGCCAGCTTCCGCCGGAGATCTGCATCTTGCAACACCTCACGACTTGCAGATTTTTGGCCCGTTGTCTTGTCTCATTGCGCAATGTCTGCTCGGCATAAGGACACTTCCCTGCAAGCAAGAGACGCTTTGCATCTGGGCGCCGGGCATGGGCATCACAAAGCTCGACCTGCTTTAATGCGTCCTTCAGCGCGGCCAAGCACCTGGCGATGAGTCCACAGAAAAACATCTATCGCTCTGAAATACTGTGAAGCACACGAGCGCAGCTCTCCGGGAGGCTGCTGGCGGCACATGTCACGCTTCTCCAGCTCCTTCCGCAACTTTTCGTTGTTGGCCAAGTGGTCCTTTCCAGGCAGCATATGCCAAACTCAGAGGTTGCAAGACTACATCGAACCGGTGCAGTGAAACAGCTATTCATTCTACCAATCCAATCCGTATTTCTGGTTGTATGCTCCACTTATGCGCGACAAGCGCTGTCCAGCATGTTGTCTGCTGACAAATCTAGTGCTACAGAAGGCCCGGTGGCGTGCGGCTTGATGGAAGCAGCTTAAGTCGTCGATTCATGGAGAACAAAGTTTGAATCCCTGATGGCATCACTGAGCATCAACAGGTCCTTTAGCGGAGCTGTGATGTTGAAATCCATGTTGCGGTTGAACCGCGCCACCGCACTATGTGGAGCGTCTTGGCGTGCCTCTACAAGAACTCCAACTTTGCCCGGTAGACTGGAGACACACAGCGGCTGATGCTCAACTTAGTTGCGATGTTCTGCGCAGCTTCGCGCAGCCGGCACCCCTCCGTCACCAGAATGCGATCCTCAACGAGCAGCAACTTGTCGCAACTTCCTATACGTCCTGCTGCTGCTGAAACCTGCCACAGGGCCGCAAATGGGAGAATGGCAAGTCCTGTGCCAGCTTGAGCTGCTCGGCCAAACCATCAGACAGGCTCTGTACACCTGGTGCAGCGATAGCGATCCCACGCAGAAGCATTAGGAACATGTAGGAACTACGTTAGCAGCAGGGGGAATAGTAGTGGTAAGGTAAGGGTCGTCGTCGTCGTCCTAGGAGGAGCAGCAGGATGAGGAGGAGCAGCAGCATCAGTCGCAGCAGTAGCAGCAGAGCAATAGCAGTAGAAGCAACAGTAGCAGTAGCAGTTGTAGTCGAAGTCGGAGTCGCAGTAGCAGTTGCAGCAGTTAGCACTTGCACTTCCAACTCCCAAAGTAGTAGCAACATTACAAACAGCAACAGTCAAAACAAAGAGCATTGCTACTGTCAACCCATATGACAGTCAATCCCAAGCTTGCAACAGGAGCAAGCAAGATAACACAAACACCAACACTAGCAATGGTAGTGAACACTATACTTCAAACTATCGCGGAATGTAAGTTGCAACTGTCCTGCTTGGTCTGCTCGCAGATATACACTAAGATACCTGAAAAGATGCATCTGCTTGCTCATTTATCTGCATCTACTTACTCACTCACTCACTCACTCACTTACTTCCTTCCTTCCTTGCTTGCTTACTTACCTACTCAGTGTAACTATCCATCTTATCAAGACTATGAGTGCATTGCTCTAGCTTTTTGTTCCTGTGCGGGTGCTTGAGATCTGATGCTAACTCGACGCCGAGGCTGCGGCCCGTGGCCAGCTCATGGATGCCTCGCCTGAGCTGCATTTCAGAGATCTTCAGATCAAACTGCGGGCTTGGGGCCTCGAGTTTCTTGGGTTCGGGGGCTTCGGACCCCCCCCCCCCTACACTTGACTCGATTTTACTCTCAGCGTCTCGTGCGCCGGTTGTATGTTGGGGCTTGAGGTTTCGACACGAACGGACCCGTGAGGCAAAGCAGCTCGCAGGCCTAACCAGGTTTAGCAACTGCAAACTCCAGATTAAGGGTCGACTCTTGCGTGTGAGGCTTGCATCGGAACTGGGGTGGTCATGAAGTGTGTCAAACGCATCTACATCTTCATCTTCCCCTGAGGTTCTCACTACTTAGCACTAGTTGGAGCACGAGAGGGCGTTCAATTCAAAGCCTTTGCCCTCAATTCGAGCGAGCCGGAATGGAAGTGTATTTGGCAGGTTTATGGTAGGATCTGTGAGTAGGCATCTCAAGCTTGGGGTTGTGTGTGTGGCGTCGGGCTTAGATGTTTCAATCCAGGATTCGACCATACGTCTCCGATGGTGATGGTGCTGGTGCTGATGATGACTATGATGATGATGATGATCACCATCGTCATCATGATTCATCATGATTTTTGGCTGCAGGCTGCACGAGCGCATTTGGCGCACACTGCTCCTGGGTGCAGGCTTCAGCTGCAGCTGTAGTGGATGAGAAGTCGAATATCACCCGCCAGATCCTTGTTGTAAGGGAAGGCCGCAGCCACAGTCCGGAGATCGTGTTGAGATTCTGCGTAGGTCCGAGTTGGATCGTCATCAGCCATCCAGAGCATTCTCAAACGCCAAATCGCCACCTGGGCGTTCTCTTTGGGGAGCTTATAGTCCGTCAGCAGCTGGACCAAAAGCGACACCCACTTCTGACGCTGAGGCTTGCTCATCGAACGCAGTACCATCGCGAGAGCTTTAAGGCACGGGCCGATGTCTTTCAGATTGGCGTAGATGTGGGACTCCACTATATTTTCCATCAGGTCTAAAAGATAGTTTGCAATAAATCGCTGCACAAAGGGGAGGCCGTCAGCAACGTAGCTGGCATGGCAGCTATACACCAGGAGCTGCCGGGCGGACTCAGAAATGGAATCATTCGCACTCTGGCAGTGCCACAGCAAGCTTCGGAGGTTCTTGCCGACAATCCGCTGAACGTGGCTTTCGGCAAAGTGGGTTCTTCTTTTGCAAGCCAAGGCAAAACACCACCACCGACCTCAGCAGAATTGGCCAAAGTCACTGCAGACTGCACTGCCAGAAAGACGTGACCTGCTCTCTGTGCTGCCCAACAAGTCAAGAGGCAATCGTAGAGCTTTTGTTGCGCGACATTGCCTCCAAAGACTGCCGCGAAGGATGTATCCGGGTTGCGCATGGCCTTCACCTTTTCCCCGAAATCGAGAACTGATTCTGGCCTGCACGGCACGACTTCTGACAAAACTACCTAGCTCTGCGATGCTCTGCGGCTGGCTTGATTACACATGCCAGTGCATGGCGGGAGGGAGAGAGCAACCCCAGCAGGCAAAATGCGACTGCATACGACTTCACGCATGAAAACATGTCCACGCTTTCAGAACGCAGCTTTGCCGGCAGTGGTAAACACTCACCAACAATGTTTCATCCGCCCCTACTATTCATGACTAAGGAATGGATGCCATCAGCTCTTAAGTGCAATGTGTATTCATGCAGCTGGATCGATCTCGCTATCGGCCGCTATCGCGCAAGACTGAACACTATTTGGATGCGTAGCGGCAGGCGGTTTGAATCACCCGACTACTTCAAGATAAATAAATAAAACTATATATCAACTATTTTTAGCCTCCCGCCTGGTTAGGAAATACAAATTTATACAATATATGTATATATATATATATGTGTATGTATGTGTATATATATATATGTATAAATATATATATGTGTGTATATATATATATCAATAAATACAAAGGCGGGCTCGAAATACTGAAAGATCTGGAGCGGACAGCAGCTGCGGAGTCAACTGCTGTCTCTTGTACATGCATGTCACTCCGTGCAACAACTTGCGCTACACTGCAGCGGTGTCGACAGATCGGATTCGTTTTTTGTTGGGGAAGTGGACCCTTCCGAGCCTTTCCATGCTGCCCATCTCAGCCACGTGATCTATCAAGGCCTGGCATCATACATGTCAAGCAGGAGGTCTCCGAGAAGTACGTGGAGGAGAGGTATGGGACTGCAGGCCTGGGGGCTTTTTGTGTGCCGCGAAAGCAAGCGCCAGTTCAGCAGATCCTCAACCTGCAGTGACCAGAGCCGCAGGAAGAAGGGTGGTAGCAGGTAGCATCTTGCCGACAGCACTCCCACTGGCCCGCAACCAAGCCACGTTCAGGTACGGCAACAGTTCTGTCCTGAGGTTTCTTCGGCAGAGACGCAGCACTGGATTTCGTCGAACGAACGAAACACCGGCCAGCATTTGGTCACGTAAGCTGAGGTGCACCAGGAGGTCGTGCGGAGCGCATTCCCCACCGAGCCCACCGCCAACCTCGAGGCTTTCGAGCGCCTTAAACTACGTGAAAGATCCAGCAGCTATCTCTTAGTAGCCTCACACAAAGCAGCAGCTCCTTGTGACGACCTTTTACGCCCAGCTGCCATCGGGTAGGAACACACCATGGCCGAGCTCTGACTCTCCGGCGAGTCAACAACAGCCTGGGATGATCTTGTTCGGCTCTCTTTTCAGTGTGATTGGGTGGGCTCGCGGGTGGCGGGTGGGATTTTGCACGGACAGGAGGCAGTGCAGTCCTCGCCATCTGTCTGGCATGCTGCATCAGCTCTGTCTTCTCCTTGGCCATGTTGCTGGCAGGAACTCTTTGATCCGGTGGACCTTGCAGGCAATTTGGCCAAAAAGCAGCCGCGACTACTATGGCATTACCATGTCAAGGCAGGTCGCTCCGACTCACCAGCAAATATTGACATCATCCCCTCGTCGGTGCACATGCGTTGCTCGGCATCCTCTGGCTTGGCCAAGGCCTCAACTCATGCATCCAGTTAACCTATCGAAATTGAAATGAGACCCCGGTCCCACATTTGTTTCGCCTCCGACCCAGGATAGCTGCTCAACAAGCGGTGAGAAGCTCAGCTAGAAAAAGTGGGCGAGCGCCGGTGTCTTCCTGCTTACATTGGGCTACCCGGTTACCCTTGCAAGAGACAACTCAGCTAGCTTGTGCCTACGGGATCCTACGGGGGGGGGGAGGCGGCTAGCTTGGCTTCCACCGACTGTCTGGGCTCCAAGCCTGCCCATCATCAACATGCTGCTCTTCGCCTTGGGCATCCTGCTCGGCGAGACAACAGGCAGGTAACACGCTTAAGCCAACCCCACCCTTCCGCCAACCTGACAACGAAAGAAAATGAACGACATCCAGGTACATCCACGCAAATGCTTTCCGGACAGCTGGCCGCCCAGACCAAAAAGTTTTCAAAGCCCGCCTCCCGCGCGGGAGACACATCGCGTGCGCACTCGTCATCCTCAACCTCTTGGTCGCCATGTTTGTCGTCGGGGGCTTGAGTGCTGCAAAAGCTTTGTCTTCTCTTGGGAGGCCTCGGCAGCCACTTGCAAAAAACACTGAGCGGCGTCTCATAGAGCCTGTGATCATGCCCCCAGCAGTTTTAATTTTGGTCCAGAAACAGGAGCCTCTCAACCTCCACTTCTGCCATGAGTCGCCTGGGCACTGCGAGGCGAAGGCGAAACAAGGGGGAGCGACAGTGCCGCCGGGTCGCAGCCGCTGCTCATTGAAGAAGCGCTCCCTCTCATTCCAAAGCTCCTGCTCCCGAACCTCCAGCCTTGGCAAAAGGAAGCGCTGAAGCACGTTGCTCCTCGCAGTCTTGCCATGCAAAGCCTCCAAGAGGCTTGAGCTTCAAAGCGTCATTGCTCCGCGTAAGCCTCACGCACCTCAATGGTGCTGCGCACATCGCATACGCCAGGCTGGGGTGCGCAATACTGTTCAGCAGGTCAGGCCGTGGTAAGGCGATTATACTAATAAGTTGCAATATGTTGCAAGAGTCTAGATGCTTTCTTTTCCGATCTCGGCCTACAGGTCTAAAGCCACGCAAGCACGCGAACTATGTAGGTTTTTCGGCTTTAGCCAGCAGCGAGAGACTCCGTGCCGGGTCGGCAAAGGCTTAACAGACTGTGCAACTTGACTCTCTTCACGAGACCTAAACTTACACACAACACCCTTCGTAAGTTAAGCATTAGGAAGCGATTTTGCCAACCTAATAGCGGATACAATCCCGGAAACACTGCAGGAGTGTTTTGCTGACACCATCATTAACTGCGAAAAAGTCTGCAAAATAGGCATGATCCTGAGGCCGTGGCTGCAACTGCAGCAAGAGCAGTTGGTTATGCTGCCTGATCTTGGTGACATCTGTGGCTGTGCACGTCGGGGCTCTCAGGCTTCAAAATCCCGCGGTTCTTCTGCATGCGTGAGTCGAACATCAGCTCTCCATTTGCGCTTGGGGCGAGGTCGAGGTTGAGTCGGTGTCCCCTCTTACGCGGCTTGAAGCACCCGGCCGAAACCGACTCAATCTACAAGCCCATTTTGCCCAAGCGGCTGGTTCTGGAGCAGGGCGTTCTCGACATCCCATTCCAGGTTCCGGAAGGGGTCCTAGCAGGATTTAGAGTCTGTGTTGTCACGCTCTACGACTCCCGAAATTGGGGTGTCCTACTGTACTCTGTCCCAGCAGACACGGCTGAGATCCAGCAAATCCTCGGCAACGGTGCAAGGCTCACGCCTCACTGGACCGCCCGTGGTTAAATCGGCAGCTGTGCCGCCGCTCCCATCGCGGAGCCATGGCTCGCCCGAATTATTTTCGTGACTGCCTCGTAGGCTCCCTTCGGTGCTGCAATCTCTCCCCGATTGAGAGGACATCTGTAAGAACGACGCAATTGGAGCTCTGTGAACTGCACATAGCTTGTTTCAGAAGAAGTTCATGGCTGAGCCAGATGTACGCAAGAAATGTTAACCCCAGCCACCACAACCCTCGTAGCGATTGGATCGGCGACCGACCTGCCTCATAACAGAGTCTAGGGTTTGGGTTCATTGACAGTGAGAGGCATGTCTACACTCCTAAAGACAAGCTCCTTTTTCAAGGAGGAACGTCTTTCCAAAAACTCGGTTCCAAGGCTCTGGACCACTCACTACCGGCTCAATCCAGCTGAAGCTGTCTCTCGCTTTCAACCGAAGGGGAGAGGGCACTGACGGCACTTCAATATGCAAAAACAAAGTGAGTTGCGTCGCCCATCCTGGCTGCTGCCGCGCCACACAAAAGTCTCCAAGCTGGAGTTCACCTCCTGCAATGACTTGTCAAAGTCATTGAACTGGGCAACCATGCCCTGGAAGACCTGCAGTTTGCAATCACTGCTTAGGTGCAGGAATTGTCGGGCACACACCACACCGGCCAAGGTATGCTTCATCGGTCATGACGAATGTGGCCCTCTCCTGTACCCAAGTCTAAGTGCACCTGGACTCACTCATCACGACCATCAAACCTAGTAGAGAGCGCCAGGTCACGGGATCAGGCGTGTCTCGCTGTAGCCACTGCTCTTCCGGGCGGAGGGCCATGGCTCGCCCGCCTGAACCTAAAACCTAATCCTACCTGGGAGCTACTGCAAGATAGCCAGACTTATCGACCGTGTTCCTATCTCGTCTGCTCCCAACCTGCGAGGCTCAAGCTTGTGATCCCAGGCAGAAGGCAAGCGCCAAAGCTGTGCGTGGCCTGCACTCACACGAACACGGCAACAGGTGTCTGGGATGAGGGGACTCTGCCTTCACCCTGACATGTAGCTCATAATTGCAAGCTTCTCGAGCAAACTTGCACAGGGCAGATCATTCACCTTTTATTCCGTTATCCTGCTGCGGCAAGCGCTTTGCGCAGTTTTCACTTGGCAAACAGCCGCCTGGCCACAATCCGCAGCCTTCGCAGCTTGCACATCTCTAGCATCTTCTGAGAATCTTAGACCTTGCAATCTCAAGCGACCACTGTTCTCGCTTGCGCTGAAAGGACTTTTCGTTTGCAGTGGCCGGGTGCCAAGAGCACGTCGGCCAGAAAATGTGCGAGAGGCTCTACAGCGCCGCTGTTCAGCGGAGACGGCAAAGCTCTCGGCTCGAATCAGCTGGGTATGTCTCAAAGACCTCTAGCAATGAGAATTCCAAGCTTCAAGTACACCTCCCCTGTCCCCAGTTTTTCACTGGAAGGCTCAGGACTCAAGATCCGAAAAATCGATGAAGCTGTGCGTAGAGTAGCCTTGTGGCAGCAAAGTCTTTGCATCGCATCTGTCAGGAGGACCGGAACTCAAGACCTAAACCAAAAATCCCAACAGTACGCTTCGAGTCCACGTGGCAGGATGCCACCATAGGATACGATGCACCACCAGGGTCGGGGGCTCCTTAGGCGTGTCGCACCGTGTCAATGTCACACACACCCCACAATTCGGCGTCTTTTGTTCTTCTGATTTGTCGTGTCCGGAGGCCTGTCTTCCGGCATTCTCCCCTTGTCTCGGAACGATTTCGAGGTCTTGTCCGAGGCTCAGAATGATGTAGAGATGCAGTCCATTTGCATCCATGACCAGAAGATAGAAAAACAGGTAGAGCATGGCAACAACCGCGGCCACCCAAAAGTCCAGGAAGCACAGAGCTCGAGAGTAGCTCCACTGGCTAGCCAGCGCCATTGGCAGATTGAGAAGGTGCATGTTCAGCAGAAAAACGCTGAAGTTCATCCTCAGGAATGCCCGCCTGTTTTCCGCTGCCGCGGCGGCAAGGATGATCGGAAACCTCGACCAGGCAGGATGCAAGATAGGTCTATAGTTATCGGATGACTCAACTGAATGTGCTTGTGCAGTCCTAGGTTTTTGGAACTTGCTGCCACAAGCGATCCAAGGGGCAGAACCAGCCACCAAACTGTGCTGGTCACAGTCGCCATGGCCACAACCGGGAAACGCAAGATCTCCGCTGCAGTCAGAAGGCCCAAGGAAATGAAGGTGAAGCGAAGGGTGAGCAGGCCATAGGAAATGGCCGTGTAGCTCACGAAGGGCCACAACCCGGTGGTTCTGAGAGTGTAGGCGATGATAGCTGTCATATAGATGGCACCTGCACCATGCCTCGAGGTGCAGGGGCATTCGGGAAACAAGCTTCATAGCTGTGAGATGCAGCGAGCCTTGGATCGCTATACGGGTCTTCCGATCACAGGGCCAGACCTTCCTATTTCCTTCCTCAGCCCGAAGGATGGAGATGAGCGATATCCCAGGTCTAGCCCACAGACAACCGAATAGTTTGTGTGCGCTCCAAGTTGCAACATCCGAATCCGAAAGCTCGCCGGCGCAGCATCGCTGAGCTTTGAGAGATCATCGTAAGCCCAGGAGGCCGACACCGCGACGAAACCTCAAAAGAACTCGCCCACGTCTGCCCAATCAGGGAGTGTGTTTAATCATGCGGCAAAGGACCCACGAAGGCCACCAGGAAAATGTAGGCCGAGTAAGACCACGGACCCACTCGTAGGTGTTCCGGGAATTGATCCTTGGTGGCTTGACGATCTGATTCGATAAAGTGTGTGTGCAGCAGATTCCAAGCAAGCCAGTGCAAACCCAGATTGACTGTGACTGAATGCAACGAGGGCAACAGGCATCGGCTGCGACACACACGAGCCGTCACTGGGGAAAACAGGCATCGTCTAGTCTATCACTCCGAGAGTCGAAGGTTGGCCAAGGGCTGCTGCTTCCAGGCTTGTCCCATTCCAAGCCAAAGAAGTTTCCGGACCTAGCACTCCTCTTTTGAGGGCAGTGATTTCGGACACAAGTGCCGCGCATGTTTGGAAGTTAATCAATTCAGGCCAGGAGGGACGTTTCGGAATAAGCTCTGCTGCAAGCTAAGTTCTCTTTGCAGCAGACACCAGTCACTAGTCCCCCTCTCGAACACCATTGTCATTGTCATCGGCGCAGACATAGTCGCGGCAGTCAGAGTCTTTCTGTCTCTCTGGGATTATTGACTTTAGACACCACCACCACCACCGCCACTGCTTCTGCGACGACGACGACGACGACCACCACCACCACCACCACCACCACGACTACCACTACTACTGCTACTGCTGCTGCTGCTACTGCCACTACCACGACGACGAGGAGGACGACGACAACGACTACTACACTACCGCTATCGCTCCCGCTACGACGACGACTACTACTAGTGCTAATGCTGCCACTACCACAGACATTACCGTCACTACCATTGCCACCACTACCACTAGCAGGACTACTGTGACTACGGCTACTGCTACAACTAGCGAGCTGCTACAACTAGCTAGCTGCTACTCCTACTACGCCTACAACTCGTGCAACTCCTAGTGCTACTGCTCCTGCTGCTCCGCAGCAGCAGCAGGAGTAGCGGCGGTGATGATGATGATGATGATGATGTTGTTGTTGGTGGTGGTGGTGATGAACCCAACTCGAAGCGATGCCTCGGTGATGCTGGATGAAATTTTAACTGACCTACTGCCGTGACCATGGCGACGGCGCTCCGGTGCAATTTTGTATGGTGAAGCTTGCGACGTGGGAGCTGGTGCCTTGTTGCTTTTAGAGCAGCCGTTGTACCGAAGGGGTGTAATGACAGCGTTCGCTACACGAAGACTCCTTCGCTGCAAAACAAGATGACGATTGACGATGCATTGTGTTTGATCAGTTCCTGCTGTTGTTGCTTTGCGTTGCTGCTGCTGGCGTTTTCTAGCGCTGTTTGTCTTGTGGCGTCCGTGGTGGCTGGTGTCGCCGTCGCCTTGCCTCGATCCAAACGCAAACTGGGGAGCTGTGGCTTTCCATCGCCCTTCGGTTCCTCCTTCCTCAGCACCTCCGCAGAGGTGTTTCGCGGGCGCAACGTGTCCTTCACAACGGCCGACTCAAGGATTCGGGATACAGTAATGGCCTCCACCGCAGTGCAACATCGACTTAAGGCAAGATCGTGGAATTGCTCAATTTCCTCAGCTCGCTGAAACTGTCTTATTGGGGGCTTTGGCCACTCCTTTTCCAGCTCTCGGCATTTGCTGAAGATGCCCCGACTGTGCACTGAATCTCTCCTGACTTAGGACTTCCTGGCGTAGAAACCTCTCAAGGCAGCCTGAGCCCCGAAGCCAACGAATTGTCCCTCGGCGCGTCCTGGTTCAGGATGTCTTCACCCTTCATGGCTCAAGCTGGTCCTAACGTCTCAAATCTGGAAGCCCTATAGGACCCAAAAAGCACTCCCTACTCAAGACTCCAGACCCCAAAGTAGCCCCGATCGTGAAGGCCTAAATCCTTCGTACATGCCCCTCACCTTCGAGGCTGAACAGCTGGGCACAGGATAGTAGGAAGTGGGGCAGTTGGGGATTCATAGGAGGAAGGAGGCAGCCACGCTAGAGTCAGGAGCGTTGCGAGAGCACTGCCGGGAGCCACATCATTCGTCATCGGAGCTGCGCAAGATCCATCTGCAAGAGAGATGCAGCTGAACCAACAGTGTTAGCAGCCATGACTCAGACAGGTTCTTCATTCATCAAATCACCCAGGAAAGGACCAGGGTTCAAGGGAGATAGTCCTTCATGACACCTCGTCGAGATCAGGTGACAAAACTACAGCAGGACAGCCCATCTCGCCGGTGAAATCGCTTTAAATTACGATGGCCAGGCTTACAAACAAGGCGGCAACATCGCAGCCAAGCAATGCCCAACAGAATCCACCAAATGGCGAAATCGAGCCCGCGAGCAATCTCCGAACTAGACTACACATAGAGTCAGGCCTTTCGTTTTGCGGGCATCAGCACGCCTGGTCAAGTGGCATGCTTCTCCGGCTTCTCGCTCGAGCGGCATCTCCAAGCACCAAGTGAGACAACGAGAATCAGAATTCCGATAACTGCCAGGTCTTGTCTCCATCCCAAGGCTGCTGGCAGCCTGGGAACCTGCTCTTGGTCCTGGACAGGCTCCGAAATCGAGTTCCACGCGGCCTGCGCTTCAACCGCACCCGACAGCGGCAGCTTAAACCTCTCGTCAGTAGCAGGATACACGACCGTAGCACCACCTTCCTCGTGCTCCAGATAGGACATCGCGCCCCCATAAATTCGGGATATCGCAGTATCTGCCAGAATGATTTGACCATCGCAGCGGGTATGGGCACGGAAGTCTTGTTGTATCGTATGGCCTACTACCATCCTGCGTGCCCCCAGTCTGGACAACACATCTTTCAGCTTGGAGCAAGCCGCAGCTCCGCCGCGGGCATAGTCTCTCGCCCAAACAGGACCGCGAGGGCCAAGAAGCTCAGATCGCAGGCTGGACCACTCACTCGAGCTCCCAGCTATCTCCAAGTGTACTTCATCGTTCAAGCTGTCCAAGCTGCGATGTGCAATAATGTTCGGCATTAGGCCGGCGTGCACGAACAGTATTTTTTCAACGATAACAGCCACCGGAAACTTGCGCACCTCTGAACCTAGCCATCCGGTCGGGGACCATGCTTGCTCGCGCTGCTCTTCACCTCCAAACCCTGCGATGTCTTCCTCAGAAACATACCTCCAGTCATGCTTTAAGTTCATGACCTCGTGGTTTCCCAATAAGTTGATGACTTTGCCGCCGGCCTGAAGCGCCTGCTCGCGAAGGCTGAAGAAGAGTTCGTAGATCTGCTTGGCGTTGCCTCCCCGATCGACTATGTCGCCGGTCTGGACCAGAACCGAATCCCCACCAATCCAAGCATGGCTGTCTCGGTCGATGAGCCCAGCATGGGCAAGTATCCGAACCGCTCGCTGAAAGTCACCATGTAGGTCTGCGACTGATATCAGCCTTGCTGCCGACATGGCTGCATTGCATGTGGCCGAGCCGTTTATCCTGCTGAATCACTGCATACCGGACAGAGCATCTGCAACTGTGTCAAACAGCAATTCCCTTCTACCGTCCTCCACTCCTCGACTTCTCAATGCCGCGAATGTGGCGATGGAACCCATCACAGGTCGTACTTCTTGATATCTGATTGATATGGGCATGCAAAACCGACTGAGTCAACCTGCAGCATGAGCACAAACGAATTGCACGATGCGTGAACTCGTCAGCCGTCCTGCAAGCCTGACTATGACCAGAACAAGCGAGGTGAATGGGAGATCAATGCACCGTGTCTGCAAGTGAGCTCTTGAATCAACCCGGCTTACGTCAAGGGCCTTACATATTCATTCAGTCGACTTTTGCTTCGCACTTGGACCCGCCACAGCTGTGCTCACCCGAACAGGTCGAAGTCCATCTCTTCCTGGAGAAAAGCAGCTCTTATGGGAGCGAAAGTCCAAGAAATCTGAGTTCAGCCAACACATGCCAACACGCTATGCCACGACCAATGTACCCTGGTGACGGGTATGAGAGAAGAGCATTTCAGTATGTTGCCAATCCCGTCCTCTTCTTCCTCCTCCTCGACCTTCTTCTTCTCCTGGCACTGAGTTCCACAGTTAGCGGAGCTGATCCTAGGTCCCTTTGGGGGCGCGGGGTCCGCCTCGGAGAAATGCTGCGAGTATTGAAAAAAGTCTTGGACCGAAACGTTGCTGAGTGATCCCTGCAGGCCAAGTCCAAGACACGGCGTTGCGCGTGAGATTTCCAGACCATCTGAGCATACAAGTAACGCTTATAGACACCCTTGTAGATCCCTTTAAGGAGCCCTTTATATTAATATAATACAATATAATATATATAACATAACATAACATAACATA